TCCTATTTCCCGTAAGCCTTGATCCCGCCTCCTATCGCCTACAGGATAACTACGGCAGCGTCTCCCCCTCCTCCAAGTACGCCTAGGGATTACATTCCCTTTCATAATTGATAATTTTCCGGAAAATAATTTCATTCACCTCTGGATGAATAGGTATAGAGGCCAGAGGGCTGTGACGTGACCCACAGTACGCGAGCACCTGGATAATCTCCCACCACTCCACCTGCTCTCCATGTCTTCCTTATTGACAAATCTCTTACACAAATTTGTAGATTACGGGAGACATCCGGCTCGTGTGGCCCAGGAGGCCCTCCACGGATGTCCCTCATCTGTCTCACCTCGCCACACCCGTCTCACCCGTCTCACCCGCCACACCCCGTTGGATCCGTCCTTAGAAGAAAAGATGTTATCTGTCGCAAACCGTCGCATCCCATAGAATCCGACGCAAACCGTCCATCTAATGCCCTTCGTCGTGCAGCCTGTCGGACGCTGTCGCACCACAACTTACGGTCGCATCCCGTCGGAGCTGTCGCAACCCGTCCCTCTCTGGATGCCCCTCATCTGTTCGCATTCCGCCGGACCGTCGCACCCTATCCCATCCTGTCGCAGCCCACCTCTCATCTGACATCACCTCCTCTGTTGCATGCCGTCGCACCCTGTCGCAGACGTCGTAACGAGTCCCCTCATTTGACGTCCCAAGCAATACTCTCTGTGATGGTGTTGTCGCTGGCCACGTTTTTTACCAGGTGCTCCACAACCCCCTCTACACCCCCGCCCAGGTTATTTATTTTGTGAGGGCGGGACCTACGTCAACGTTGTTCACTTGTACACACTTGGTGACGTGGGGGGAGGGGGGTGCTGGTGCCTCTCGCAAGACTCACCTGTTGTAGCTTTGTCACCCAACCAAACCTGTCACCCGGCACCAAGACACAGCCATGGGAAGAGAAATGTTTCTAATTTGTATATGTGTGTGTGTGTGTGTGTGTGTGTGTGTGTGTGTGTGTGTGTGTGTGTGTGTAATAATAATAATAATAATAATTAACGGTTTATGAAGAAAACATGGCAGCCCGAAGGCTGAAAATATACAATGAACAGAGATGATAAGTTACATGTGGTGAAATCGGGGAGTGAGTCACTTGATTGACAAAAGCTTTCAATACAGTGTGTGTGTGTGTGTGTGTGTAAAACTACAAACGTTGAACACCAAATTACTTAACTCTAGGCTACCAATCACTCCCTCCCTCACCACACTCTAACGGGACTTCTAAAGCCTCTCACGGGTAGGTAGGACTCGTAGGACTCATGTTACGGCCCTTCACACCCCGATACTCTCGTTTATAGGATACACCGGCCTGGTCAGCGAGAGTCCTGTGGGTAGTTAGCAGATTGTCACTCCTGTGATCCTCTAATCCTGGAGGAAAGGTTGGCTGTAGGAGGATGGGGAGGGGGGGGGGGCAGTAAGGAGTGAGAGGGAGGGGATGGAGTTAGGGGGAAGGGAGAATAAATAGTGGATAGGGAAACCTCAGGGACATTTCGCTGTCACTCCCTTAAAATTTTACTGGGAAGGACAAACCTACGTAACCTAACGTAACCTAACCTTATCAAACGTCACCTACCTTGAATATGTTTGGTGGGGGAGAAGGAAGCAAATATCCCCCACCTATAGTTCATGGGAAAGAGGGAGGGAGGAAGGAGGGCATATATACCTAGAAGGGAGAAGAAAAGAGGGTAAGAGGAGGGAGGGGGAGGGATGAGATGGGACAGTTGGAAGCGAAGTGATTGTGTAGGGAGGAGGAGGGAGGGAGGGTAGGTAAGGAGGGTAGGGAGGGTAGGAGGGTAGGTAGTGGTTTTGTTTACATGGTATTTGACGCCTGGTATTCATCTGTCGTGTGTGATGGTAGTCCGTGTGTGTGTGTGAGAGAGGTACCACGTGGCGCTCACAGGGTCCAGTCACAACCACTTCCCGAGAGAGAGGGGGAAAGGAAAGAGAGACAGAAAAGAGAGAAAGAAAGGGAAAGAGAGATAAAGTGAGAGAGAATGGGAAAGAGAGAAAAGAAAAAAGACAGACAGACAGACAGATGGGTAGAGAAGGAGAGACACAATACAAGAGACAAACAGACAGACAGACAGACAAAAAAATCCGACTATTTACTTGTATATATTCATGGAAGAGAGAGAGAGAGAGAGAGAGAGAGAGAGAGAGAGACAAAAATAGACAGAGAGTTTTTTTTTTATTGGGCACTCCCCTACATCCTTGTGTAAGGTGAAGCGCAGAAGCGTTTACAGCGCCCAACAGGGAAGCATGCTAAGTTCATGCTTGCCTTTATGTCTCACGAGTTAAGGGCGTAGAAGTCTGAAGAGTCAAGGGCGTAGAAGCCTCCAACAACTCCCTGAATACGAATTCGCAACTTTTCGACTTACACCAGGTACCTACTTTACTGCTAGGTGAACAGGGACTAATGGGGGCTAGGAAGTAAGTCCAAACAACTTCCATCGGCCCGGGAATCGAAACCGTGACAGCTCGCTTGCGAGGCAAGAACGGTACCGCTTCTACCACCGGTCCCCCTAGAGAGAGAGTTTGACCCAATATGAGGATCCAAAATGAGAGAGGTGCCAGGTGACCTCTTGACCTCTCATGACCTGGAAGGCCCACCCATCAACAGCACTTAGGCAGGAACCACTAATTTCACCTAGAGGTCGTCAGTTGACCTCCACTCATGTTCTGGTCTAAGTCATTACCCACCTGGTGATGAGAGGGAAGTGAGGGGGGGGGGGGATGCTGTTACTTTTTTCCAGTAAATTGCTATTACCACTGATACTTTTTTCATAGCTTGTAGTTATGTCCCCTCGTGTTGGTGGTCCGTGACTTCACGAAAATTTTACATGGTTTTACATTTTTCACCACTTTTCAATATTATGATTGTGTCTAAAGATTCGCCATATTGTGCCTTGTCTGAAGAGTAGTAGTAGTAGTAGTAGTAGTAGTAGTAGTCACTGAATGCCGCATAGATCTGCGGCTCAACTAACTCAACACAGATAGGATAGCTACTTATGTATTAGGATATTTAATTTTAAGGTATTAAAATGGCGGCGAAGGTGAGGCTATTGGGGGAGGCTGGAGGCCATTGAAAAATAAATAAATAAATTAGTTATAGTTGTAGTAGATGTGTTAGGCCCAACACCTCAGCGTCATACGAGACGAGGGTTTATCAGAGGCTCGTGAGGGTAGAGGGTCGATTATCACCTGAGACAGTATCTACCTCCACCCACCCCTCACCACCCTCAACACTACCTTCACCCACCCACATAAAAAATAAAATTCACGTCTTTGCGGGCTATGGCATTCGCTATTGGTCTTTGCTCATCATGATCTGCGTTGATTGGTCCTGTCCACCATCACGTGAGATGATGAACTGCGTTGATTAGTTCTTGTTTACAACTGTTGATGTGCGTTGATTGGTTGTGTTCTTCACGGCGTATGATGCTGAAATGTTGATTGGTTCTTATCCACCATGACGTACCCTGTTAATCTGTGCTGATTGGTTCCTACACATAATGACGTCACCTCTCTCCCTCCTAACACAACAACTTTTTATAAGCCTGGAACTGACTTCATGGTAGACAAGGACCAATCAAAACCGTTTTATCGAAAATTATCATGTAAATAGATAAGTAATTACCATTGCAATAAACATAATTGCCAACTAGACAATCCTGACAGCTCTGTCCTCTTGTTCAACCCAGGTTGTACTGCTCCCCCATTATACTTATGTTTTTCAATTCCACTGTAATTTATGTATATAAAAAAATTAATAAATATTGAAGTGATAACCGTGGTAACATTATGAGATGTTCTTATTACCACCATGCTATTATACTATTCCAGATGATACTAAATGTTACATAATACTTCCTTGAGATAAATGTATAGTATATATCAGGTGCCTCAAAGAGAGCTCAGGTTCTCAACTGGCTCAGCCATGTTAATATTGTTATTGTTATCCACTGTATATCTGTGTTTTTCTGGCTAAATAAACTGTTTCAATTCAATTCAATTCAATCGGCGCACTCCATGCCCGCATACGAGTGGAATTTGCCTTCCTAAAGAGTGAGGGAGACCAGAGCGCCCGCATCGTGATCACACCTTCTCACCTCTCACCCTCACACCTCAAGTGCCTCACCCTCACACCTCCCCACCAGCCACCTCACCTGACCTGACCTATCACTTCCGGGCCACTCCCAGCATCAAGTGACCTGAGCCTCGAGTCATCATTAAACACCCTGATGCTAACTTAACCAAACTTAAACTAATCTAATCGAACCTAAGCTAACCTAACTTAAACTAGCCTAACCTAGTATAGCATTAGATTAGATTAGGATAAGATGTTTATTAATTAATCGGGATAAATAAACTGGGGTGCCTAATCTTCAGGTGAAAAGTACAGGTGTGTCTGGCATCGAATAATTCACGTTTATATTAACACATAATTCAGTGGCCCTCATCTGTGAGTGACGTCTCCCCAGTGGTCCAGTGAGGGCCACCCCCCCCCCCCAGGGTCCGGTGATCGGGGGGGGGAGGTCGTTAATGCCACACCCAGGAATCTCAAACGTTCATACGATAATACACAAGACACTCACTCACCTACCGACAGACAGATGGTGATGATGTTTACTGTCCTTATGATAGTTTAAATCTCTATCTCTCTCTCTCATTATTTGTGTTTCTTATTTCTTATTTCCGGTAAAACAACGCGACACTGTACAGTCGTGTGTTAACAAACATTAAGGTGAAGTAGGGCAGTCAACTCTCACACCAGACATTGTTGTTGTATTGTTTGTACAAGAGTGAAATATTATTTATCTATTAATGAATTTATTTTCCAAAATATGAACCTTCATGTGTGTGTGTATGTTTATACTCTCTCTACAAATGTTACACTCATACAGTGAACATTTATGTCTCTTATCATTATTAATAAATTTGTTTGTGTCCATTACAGGAGCGTCAGTGGCAGTTGTTGATGCGCCGGGAGGTCGGACGCGACTACCACAACCTTGGCCTGGCCGGAGCTAAAACACCCCCATCTGGCGGCCGCAGCGCCAACTAACACTGCCTCCAGTTGGCTCCTCGTTGAATGCTCGCATCACCTCCATACATCCCTGGAGGACTTTAAACCAAAACAATACTATTTATTCCTTGGTCGAGAAGTTCATCATGTTCTACGGTCAAATCCTGTTATCAAATAGGAACGTGTAAGAGGTTTCTTGCAAATAGATTTATCGTTGACAGGCAATAATCATCGGAAAAGATGTACTAGCGGATGAGGTTGTAAACGCTCTTGGGATTCCATCACAGCCAATCAGCACACGGCCGTAGGGATCATGTCTTCAGTGGTCCCCGAGTTCTTTTTGTGGGATCAGTCGCTGAATAGCTCGTGCGGTGGAAGGATGGAGTGTGAGACGTTGTATGAGCTGGGTCCCCCGCCCGATATGATATTGAATATACCTCCTCCTCCCATTCCACCATTTATGGAAGAGTTTGTGGCGAGGCTAGCAGCCGAGGGTATAGATATTCGCCCGGATAATGGATTCCCGGAGGAAGAAAAAGCTTGTAATCTCTGCCAATGGGCAAATGGAAACGGCGTTGGATACGTGGAGTTGGCACAAAAAGGTGAGTTATATTTATAATCCTTTAGTAATGTTTCCAGGTTGTTAAGGTGTGTAAAGTAGTTAACATTCGGTCATCACAAGTTACTCACATTATGAAAAACGAAATAAAACAAAAAAAGTGTTATTAAGACTGAATTTCGCTTTGCTGTTGTGTCGTGAAATAAACAAATATAATACAATAATATCTGGTATTATTGTGAGAATATTAAAGAAAAGGAAAAGACGAAATAATATGAAAATGCTTGATTATGTGACTTTCCCAACCACTGGAAGGAAGAAATGAAAAGTCGTTCAGAAATTAGTGAAAGGCATAAATACCTAATTTTGTTTATACACACCTTGTGCTGTGGCGTAATGTACTATACATTAATTGGGAGTTGTGTACCCGCAGTGTTGTTACCATGGGCAGCTGTGTCCTGGGTCATTATGCTCATGTTGAGAGTGAACTGTCAACCTTTAATCGAAAAATATTATAATTGTTGCTGAATTTTTTCTTCTTGATACATTATGTGTGTGATAGTGTCAGCTGGTTGACCTCAAAGATGGCGACGCAACCAACAACAACAACAACAATTGGTTGACCACCATAATGGCGGCTCCGCGGACAATAACAATTGGATGCTCACAATGATGGCGGCTCCACAACCACCACCATCAACAACTACAACAACAACAATTGCTTGACCATAGTAATAGCGGCTCCACCAATCAAATACAAATTGGTGAAAGTGGAGCCTAGATAACCACGCTCACCATACCTCTTGAACTAGGAACTTAATTTTGGTGACACAGTGATGTGAGTGACGTGAACGGTGAACTGGCAGTGATGTGAGTGACATGAACGGTGAACTGGCAGTGATGTAAGTGACATGAACGGTGAACTGACAGTGATGTGAGTGACGTGAACGGTGAACTGGCAGTGATGTAAGTGACATGAACGGTGAACTGACAGTGATGTGAGTGACGTGAACGGTGAACTTTCACTGATATAAGTGACGTGAACGGTGAACTGACAGTGATGTGAGTGACGTGAACAGTGAACTGACAGTGATGTGAGTGACGTGAATAGTTAACTGACAGTAGGTGAAGATGACACGGTTAAGTGAACGATTAGCTAATCATTTAAGTGAATGTGACATGCCATTGACGATATTACAAGTGGTTACCAGTGGAAGAAAGTGACATAAATGGCCCTCAGGGCGGGAAAGTGACATCAGAGGAAGAAAATGACTTAAAAGTGGCCATTAGAGGAAGAAAGTGACTTAAAAGTGGCCATTAGAGGAAGAAAGTGACTTAAAAGTGACCAATACAGGACGAAAGTGACATAAGTGGCCCTCAGGGCGGGAAAGTGACATCAGAGGAAGAAAGTGGCTTAAAAGTGGCCATTAGAGGAAGAAGGTGACAGAAGTGGCCCTCAAAGGAAGAATTTGACATCCGGGCAAGACAGAAAGTGTACCATTATCGGACAAAATCATACGTCAAACATAATGTTCAACAAGGCTTTTATACACTAATATTTTACTGTGGTATTTTGTCCAGCCCCAGTGATGGGATTTTTGTCCAGTGGGATTATATCCGATAGAGGGATTTTATTGGTGGTGGGATTTTTGTGTCCAAAGGGGACTTGTCTAGCTGGATTTTGTCCAATGGGAAATTGAATATTATGAAATAGGATTTTTGTCCAATGGGAAATATTCTAGTAAGGTTCTGTCCATACAAAAATCGTCCAGTGGGATTTTTGTCCACCGGGAAATTGTGTAATGAACTTTTATATTTAATAATGTCTGGTCAGGGGTGGACCGAGGAGGGAGAGGCCGGCAACGATGACTCTCACCCAATGCCTTCATATACACTGATGAAGTTATTGTTTACATCTGGTCCTCAGCCAACCAATCACAACTCCTCCACCACCTGATTGGTCCATTCTTTCTCCTTCCACTTCAAAACATCCGAATATCTACTAATACCGTTTATTGATTTCCTTCGTTTGAGAGCGTTCGAATCCTTGGGTGTTATCTTGTACAGTTCGTTTGGAAATGTTCGAATTTTCCTTTTCGTAGAATTCCTTGTTCGTTTTTATTGTTTGAAATGTTCCAGTCTTTTGTTTGGTCTCATTATATGCTGTTTTTCACCTCTTAGATCGTTCGATTTCTTTGCGTTTACTTCATATCTTCATCTGAATCTTATGTTCAATACATTGTCCTCATTTGATATATTCGAAATATAGTTTGATTTAAATCTGAGTGTTAGTATTAATCAGTGTTAGTATTAATCAGAGTGTTAATGTTAATCTGAATGTACCTGCGTAAGGTTTCGATGGCCCGCGTGTCCCGGTGATTCGTTCACCTGAGAAGACTTAATTACCTTATTATTATTATTATTATTATTGCTGTCAATATATAGCCTACTTCTTTAAACTGTAAAATTACTGTTAACTTCAGTATTATCATCTCTCTCATTCTCTCTCACACACACACACACACACACACACACGCGCGCAGGTTGTATTTCTACTACTTATTTCCACGTGAAGAAAACCAGGTAAAAAGCCAAGCCAGGATTAATGAGAGTTCCTCCTCGTACAACAACCTAACAGTGACACCACCCAGATCAAATTGAATTACAAAATATTTCAATAAAACCAGGTGGGTTATTAGTGGAGAGAGAGATGGGTCGGGTCTGTCGCTTTAGTCACGCTCGTCAGTAGTTGATCCCGAGAGACGCGCCCACTGGTTGATCCCCCCCCTTCCCTCTCCTCCTCCTCTTCTTCCTCTCTCTCCTCTTATTCCTCTCTCTCTTCTTCCCCTTCTTCCTCCTCCTCTTCCTCCTTCTTCCTCTTCTTATCAGGGAATAAGTGACGTGGAGTAGAGACGTATTACTCACTCTACTGACGGTGAGTACTTCACCTTCAGGAGTAACGTGGTGGTAGCTCTTCCTCCGTATAACTTAGCACTGTTTCCCCGAGTCAAAGTACAACACCCTTTTCTCAGCGTCTGACTATGAATTTAGTTAAGACTCATACCATCTAAATAAAAATCACACACACACAAGAGTCTTACTGTCAGTTGAACTGTTTACCTGACAGAGTAGTGAATAAACGTTTCTATTGTATTGTAAACGCTTCAATTGTGGTGTTATAGCATTGTAAACGTTCCTGTTGTTGTGTTATAGCATTGTAAACGTTTCTTCTTGTGTGATATAGGAACGTTTGGGTCAATTAACTGTGCCAAATGTCTGTCACATTCCCCTCGCTGACGGCCGTGTACCTTATGTATTAGGACCATTACTTGGACGTCTCGCGTGGATTATTATTATTACCATCCAAAATCACACCTTATCTCCACTCCGGGACCCCATCCTCCTGCAGGACCAATCAGCTTATCCCAGGCCCGCGAACGCGTGGAATATTTTTTTCTTTCTTGCCAAATTACGCCTTTCCCCGCCCCGTGACCCCAGGCTCCGGGGCCCCAGGAGATCACTGGGGTTTGGCCTGAGTGTATTGATATGCAGATGACGAGGCCAAGCGAGTTAATGCCGGCGTCGACCCCCGGGTAATGGTGACAGTGGCAACCCACCAACCAGTATGGCAACCGTAGGACAAGAGGGAGAGGTGTAGGACTCTGGGAGGATATCCTGCTGCTGTCGGTGTTAGGGGAAGGGGGAAGAATCGTTGCTGGTACGATATCTGTCCATGGATGATATCAGTCAAGTCTCTCTCTCTCTCTCTCTCTATAGTAGGCCAGGTGAGGTAGTGTTAGGGACTAGACTTCAGGTCCTAACAGCCCTGACTCTCCCCAAATTCCTGACCACAATCCCTCGATCATGGACGGGAGAGTTCTCTTAAGGTGTGGGTAATTTGAGGGGTCAATGTGTGTGACTTCATGGTGTAGTGGACCTTATTACTGTTTGTGTCTGTCAACCTGTACCTGTGTCTGTCAACCTGTACCTGTGTCTATCTACCTGTACCTGTGTCTGTCAACCTGTACCTGTGTCTGTCAACCTGTACCTGTGTCTGTCAACCTGTACCTGTGTCTGTCAACCTGTACCTGTAACTGTATTGTTGGTTTTGCATTAATGAAAGGAGAACTGTGGCGCCAGCTAGTGAACGAGGCGTCAGAGCGGCCTTGTTGTGTACTGTATACTCTTAAGGAAGAACCTTCCTTCCTTCCTTCCTTCCTTGCTACACAACAATTGATCATGACTATAATATATTTACGAGTATACTACATAAGGCACAAGAACAAAATATACCACACTGAAAAATTAGGTCAAATAAGAATGAGCCAAGGTGGATGACCAGAAAACTTAAACATGACATAGGAATAAAGAAAGGAATTTATAAGAAATTAAAGGGAGGGGAGGAGCAGCTCAGAAATATGTATAATGAACTATCTAGGAATGTTAAGAAAAATGTAAGGAAGGCAAAGAGGGATTACGAAATCAGGATAGCAAGAGAATCCAAGGCGAATCCCAAGGGATTTTTCCAGGTATATAGGACAAAGGTCAAGGACAAAGTGGGACTTTTAAAGTCAGAGAGAGGGGAAGTGATCGATGATAGTTTTAATAAGCAAAGCATTAAACAACTTACTTCTTATCAGTTTTCACAGAAGAAATTCACGAGGAAATGCCAGAGGTCGAACTGATATTTAAGGGAAATGAAGAAGAGAAATTAAAGAATATCACAATCAGAAAAGAGGATGTTCTTAAGAAGATAACTAAATTAAAGAAGACAAAATCCCCAGGGCCGGATGAAATTTTTCCTCGAGTTTTGAAAGAGTGTAAGGAACAGATTAGCGGACCCCTCGTAAATTTATTTACAAAATCATTAGACACGGGAGTTGTGTCAGACTTGTGGAAACAGGCAAATGTAGTACCCATATTCAAAAAGGGTGACAACATCAGCGTCAAATTACCAGCCGATTAGTTTGACGTCAGTGGTGGGGAAATTTCTTGAATCAATTATAGCAGATAGCATCCGATCGCATTTAGAGAAAAACAAAT